TTTGAGACAGGGTCTCACTATATACTCAGACTGCTTTGGAACTCACTGTGTAGCCCAGGCTGGTCTCGAACTTGCAGCGATCCTCCTGCCTCAGCCTCCCGAATGCTGGTATTACAGGTGTGTGCCACCATGCTGGAGCACTGTACTTTATTTTTGAAGGAAGTTTTATAAGGCATCTGTCATATATCTGTACTAACAAACACCAGAAGGAAACAGAAGTGTCCACAGGGAATGACAGCTTCGGCTGTCTGGAAGGCGTACCCGGCTTACTCTGCATCACATGCACATGTCTGTCCCTCCAGTGACTGTCCTGCTCATGTAAGCGGCTTCGGAGCCGTGACTGCAGTCCTTCAAGGTCATCTTCGGATCGGCTGGTCCACAGCTGGTCCGAGTCACTGCTTCGGGCAGAGACCAGGATGGGAGACTGTGTACCCCCACCGCCACCGCTTCCTGGTGCTCAGCTTAAGGGCCGGGTAGCTGCCACATGGACAAGGAGGGTGCGGCTGTGACTCCCAGCTCACAGATGGGCAGTCTGAGAAGAAGCAGGGGAGGAGCTCGCTCAAAGTGAGGGGCGCAGTCAGGGGTGAACTGGGTCAGCACCCACCAAAGGCACCCGCCCAGGCACAAGGGGGCGCAGCACAGACGAGGAACAGGCTTGGCTTGCTTTTGTTAATGAAGTAACGTTTATTTATTTCTTGAAATGTTTATTTTACATGAAATGTTCATGGAAAATCAAGACCTTGCAAGGAATCCCAACGAGACATAAATTACATCCAGCTCTGAGCTGGTCCTAAGCCATGCCTAGCAGGGGATGTTAAACCACAGCTCTCTTCTCCTTGTAGGTCGCCATCATTTTCTTGATTTCAGCAATTGCTTTGCCTGGATTCAGACCCTTGAAGAGAGAGAAGAGAACCATTGCCAACTGGTTATGGAAGGGAGGCGGGGAGGCCTGGAGACCCCTGGCTGTTCCGCGGCAAGGCAGGTGAACAGACACAGGCCCTCAGGACCCGGGAGACACTTAAACATGGCCAGCGCTCCCTGGCTGGGGACTGCTGTGAATTCCACCTGGGGCGGCTCCTCGGCCAGCAGGCAGGCAGGCGGGCAGATGAGCCCAGGGCATGGTCCGATCCCCGACTGCTTGGATGGCAGGGTGGTGTCAGCCAATGCCCATCAGCCAGACAGCTCTAGGTTTTGAGGCGACCTCCACTCAGTGAGGCAGCAGCCACGTGGAGGAGACGGCCTTGGGGGTCTCCAGAGACGGCACCGCCACCCAGGCCTTGTGTGTGCTGTCGAGCCTGCCTGGGTGCACCCCAGAGGATGCCAGCTTTGCAGGAGTTGGAGGGAGACCAGCAAGTATGTGTCTGAGAGACATAAGGACTTAGGAGTCAGGGAGGGCCCTCCTGTGTTCAGGTAGCTCTAACCCTGATGCTAAAGAGAAAGAGGAAGGAAAGAAGATCTTGAGAGAGATGCCCATGATTCCCAGCACCTATGAGGTGAGGGTACAGATGAACCTGACACGAGGCAGGCAGGAGAGGCCACAGACACGTTGCAGCACACAATGCCCACGCCGGGCACTTCTGCCTGAGTTCACAGGTACAGGGCCTGACTCGAAGGTGCCAGCCACAGAACGTCACAGCCCAGACACGACACCGGCCCGAGGGGTGGGGCTGCCGGGAGCACAGCAGTTTCCAGGCCAGCTCGGCCTCCGATTTCAGACTGCTGCGCTTGTCTCCAGCCTCACTTTGGCGTTCGCTGATCACAGGGCAGCTGTGCTGAGAACCGAGTGTGACACGGACCAGGGTCAGGTGCACCGCTGCCGCTGTCTCTGACAGGATGGTGCCAGGACAGATGGGGCCTCCGCTGAGGCCTGGGGAGCAGCGGCAAGTGTGAGGAGGAGCAGGGGCTCTGAGTCTCAGAAGAGGTCCAGGTGCAGGAAGGGATGGGCTGGCTGCCTGCCCTCAGCTGTCTCTGATGACTCTCACCTTCAGTCCTTGCGGAGACAGGCTGACCGCAGGGTCCAGCTCACGCATTCCCCAAAGCCCCCCGGGTCCCCACAAGTAAAGCCTGCCCCGGGGGCCTGAGGAGCCCATGACTTAGCCATACTAGCTCCAAGCTCCCCGAGACAGCAGGCACGCTCTGGCCCCTCTCCATCTGCGGTGGCCAGGTGGGCTCTCTCCAAGGCCCGGCAGCCCAGCCCGCCTACCTTGGGGCAGGTCTGTGTGCAGTTCATGATGGTGTGGCAGCGGTACAGCGAGAACGGGTCCTGCAGCTTGGCCAGGCGCTCCTCTGTGAAGTCATCCCTGGAGTCGATCATCCAGCGGTAGGCCTGGAAGCCAGGGGCCTGTGAGCTGGGCTGCGCCGTAACAGAAGGGACCCACTTCCCCCAAAGCCTCATCTCTGTACCCTCACCCCGACCCTCTTTCAAGCGACTGCTAACGCTTCATAGGACCGCTCACCGATCCCGAGCCTCGGATCCTCGCTGCACTTGTACCTCGGTGCTTAATCAGGCACTAGGGGTCAGCTCCTAAAGGGTTCATGTTGCCCAACAGCTTCCAAACAGCTTATAATTAGCAAAGGCAGGAAGAGTGCCACACGTTCTGCGTGTCCTCACAGCCCTGCACTGCTGCAGAGTAAACCAGTGACTTAATGGACCTGCCTGGCGACAAGGGTTGTCCTGCTCACTGCCTCTTCGCTGGGTGTCCCCGCTCCAGAGGCCTGAGATCGCCAGCCACCTGACCCTGGCCACTCCAGGACTGTCCCGGGGAGACCCCTCTGCCCAGGGTGAGACAGGGTAAGCGCTTGTGGTCGGGAATCGATATTACTCTTGTGGCCATGCAACTTCTCTTTTTATGGGAAAATGAGAAACGTGGAGTTATCTTTGAGTTGCTTTGGAGTCTGAAAAGCATTGACCACAAATCTAAACAGCACGACCTTTCGGGGGACAAAGACAGCAATGCGTACACACGAGACAGGCGATGGCAACCAGCGCCACTCTCTCTCTGAGCAGCCCTACCCCGGCGCCTTCCCACCGCACAGCCGGGCAGTGCCCACACTTGGCTGCCCGGGAATAGGCGTCCTGCCCGCAGCAGGGCACCACGCCCACCCTGCAACCCAGGCTCAGGTTTCCTAAAAGCTAATGAACCCAACACAACCAGAGGACAGCACCCACCCCGACAAGCCGCTGTCCTCCCGGGTGTCTGTGCTTTCAAGGCCCCCGGGCCGCAAGGGCTCATGTGGCGCGGTGTCTCACCTGCATGAGGACCGCGGGCCCCAGGTACTTGTCTCCGTTCCACCAGTAGCTGGGGCAGCTGGTGCTGCAGCAGGCACAGAGGATGCACTCATACAGCCCATCCTGCAGGTGAGATGGGGTCAGGGCGGGGAGGGAAGACACCTCGGGGCCTCCACGGATCAGAGGGGAGCCGGGGCTACACATGGAAGTGTTCTTGGCAGATCCAAGAAGCTGTTTACAGAGACTGAGTAGAGTCATAAAAAAGACCGTGTAATTAAACGTAAACACTTGCTGGACTAGAGCCCAGGGGTCTTAGGTCCAAGTACAGTATATCTGCCCTTTAACAAAATAACCCCTCACCTACAACAAAACAAAGGCACGAAGCTTCTCCCCGCACATACAGTCAAAGTGCAGAAGTCAAAAGGCTCTCTGGAATCGACACCAGCTCCCACCCTGGGGTTTCAACAGGAGGCTAACGTCACCCTAGGAAAAGCCACTCCCGACTGTACCTGGGCTGCACATACTGCCCGACCCATCAGCACAGCCACAGGCGCGGTGGGGTGGGTCCCGGGGCCTGACCTGCCCCTCTGCCTCTCACACCACACACCTGTGCCACTACACCTGCTCTGCTCGGGAGACGACAGACGAAACGCAGACACCAGAGGGGCGCACTGCCGTCTGTGGTGGCGGAAGGGAGTGCAGACCAGCCCAACTGGTCTGAAAAGCTTAGGTCACAGAGATGGCCTTTAGCTATGCTTGAGTTCTGAGTCCACTCAGAAAAACCTGTGCAGGGTGTGAATCAGAATTTCTGGGGCAGGACTTAAAGACTAAAGTATTCAGCTATCCTAGTGTACAATAAGAAACTGGAAACTATCTCACGGTTCATCAATAGTGGAATGCTTTGATAGTGCTTGGCACAGGACTAGAGTAGTAGAAAGCATAGTGTAAATTAATGCTGATACAGGACGCTGGGCATGATGTGTAACTCCTATAATTTCAGCACTCAGGAGGCTGAGGCAGGAGATTGCCTTAAGTTTGAGGCCAGCCTGGGCTACACAGTGAAATCCTGTCTCAAACCCCCCAAAGAGAAAAAAAAAAAGTAGTTTCTGTATTTTTTTTTTTTTTTTTTTTTATAAAAAAAAAAAAAAACTTGGTTTTTTTTTTTTTTTATAAAAAAAAAAAAAAACTTGGTTTTTTTTTTTTTTTGAGACAGGGTCTCACTATGTAGTTGAGACTGACCTGGAACTCACTATTTAGCCCAGGCTGGTCTTGAACTCACAACGATCCCCCTGCCTCAGCCTCCTGAGTGCTGAGATTACAGGCGTGTGCCACCACGCCTGGCCTGTATTTTTCTTATTAAGTACAAATGAAGCATATTAATCTATGGATTTAAATGAGTGAATTTCTATTACTTAGAAAATACCCAGGTGCTTTCATTCCTTTCGACAACACCCCAAGGGGCTCCTCAGAAACTGGGAGCTGAGGGGCCTGGTTTTCATTGTGAGGACTGGTTGGGTTGGGGCAGCCCCACCAGACTCTGTGGGAGCTGGAAACAACAGGGGGACACAGGTATGTCCCGATGGTGAGGAGCTCTTAGTAATCTCACAACCGGACTGCTGCCCTGGCCCTCACCCTCTCCATGGGGAGATTCTGGGATGCTCCTTAACTTTTCTTTTGTTTCTGAGACAAGCACAGCTGTGTGGATGCAGAGGCTAAAGCTGTGTCCGGCCTCCTGGTGCCCAGGTGGAACCTTCCTCCCACTTTGTACTTGTGAGGGGGCTTTTGTGAATGCCTCTCCTGTCAGGACCACCTCAGGGAAAGGGCCTTATTCTCTGGAGCCTCAGGCTCTGGCACATGGTATGCACTAGTTGTGTGCATAAATTCTAGTTCTTGAGTTACCCTCCTTTCCTCTTCCCCATAAAAAGTTAAGAGAATGCATGCCTGGAGGCTGAGGCACGAGGATCTTTGTGAGTTCAAGGCCAGTTTGGGCTACACAGTGAGTTCAAGGCCGGCCTGAACTACAAAATAAGACCCTGCCTCAACAAACAAACAAATGTAGTTACAGAAGTGGTGCATGGTGGCTATACCCATAATCCCGGTACTCTGGGAGGCTGAGGCAAGGAATTGCCAAATTTAATTTCAGCCTGAGCTACTCAGTGAGACCCTAAATAATTCAAAGAGGCAGGAGATGTAGCTCAGTGTTAAGGGCCTGGGTTTAATCCCAGGATGCTCCCCTCCCTGCGCCCCAATTATAGACTGTACAGGAATAGCAACTCCAAGAGGGTCAGAAGGCAGGTGGCAATCCACACTCCAATCACTAGAGGCAGTGTAAGGACAGCAAGACTCTAGCTTCATCCTGTTAGGCAAACAGAACTGAAAACCAGGCCCGGACCTCGAGGGAAATCTAACACATCCCATCTGTGACTTGGTGGTGGCAGTTAAGGGTACACACGGCCATCTCTAAGGGTTATTCCCCTGTTGTAAGAGGACAGCTCTGCTTTCACTGTCAACTTCTAAAGACCAGGTAACTCAGATCCGGCTTCTTCTGAAAAAGACGCGTGTCTGGCAGGCGGCCATAGCCTGCCCCTTCGCAGGGCGTGAGTGGCCGGCCCACTGGTCCACTCCGGCCTTCCTGAGCGCATGCTGCCCGGTGGGCCGGAGAGGAGGGTGTGCAACCCTCGCGCCAGACACTCTTTGGAGTTCCTGTCCCAGAGACACCAAGCAGTCCGCTCCCCACCAAGCCGTCCTCCCAGCAAACACTCGAGCCCGACAGGGTGGGAGGTAATGACCAGTTTCTCGCGGTCTTCTATGGATTGCAGATACTGCTGCTTGCCTTCCTTGGACTCGTCCTTCTTCTTCAAATAGGGCTCAATGGATTTGTACTGGGCATAGAAGTTGTTCAAATCCTGAGGTTAGAAAGAGGAGAAGGAAGAAAAGGATCAGGTTCCACCACTGCCTCTCAGCTTCCCTGCCCTGTGACACACGGAAGTCAGACTCCTGTGCATGAACGGACACAAGCACTGCAAAAGGAGACGATGGTCACGACGTCAGCACGGTTAAAGTCTCCCTCACCCACCTGAGAGCTTCACAATTCCAGGCCTTCCTCCCGCCTCACCCCGAAAACACCAGGTCAGCGAGGGCATCGAGACACAGGGAGGGGAAATTAGAGTAAAACTCCAGCAACTGTTCTTTCCCCAGAGGCATTTCCCCCCGAATTCACTGTAGTTATTTATGGGCAAGTTCTTCATTTTGTCAACTCTTTCAACTCTAAAAGTCTATGCTTGGTTATTCCGAGACGAGCGGCCAGGATCTCTGCCACTCACATTCTATAGTTAAACCCACAAGGCCGTCTGGCCCGAAACCTGGAGGTTTCCCTGAAACGGTCAGTTAACTGAGCCACAGCAGAGCCAGACGGCCCTCCCAGTCCCGGGGCTCCTCCTCCGACAAGGGAGCTGTCACCCCTCAAGGACGGCCCGCCCGCAGGAGCACACCAGGCCCGGCCCCCGCGTGCCCAACAGAGATGCAGACACTCACGGGAACGAGGTCCTTGATCACGTACATGTGCGGCAGGGGGTAGATTTTGGAGACTTTGCCGAGGTTGGTATCGATCCTGCGTGTGCAGGCCAGAGTGTTGCCTCCATTGATGTTCATTGCGCACGAGCCACAGATACCTGCGGGACAGACCCGGCCTCACACCTCAGCTGTGCTCAGTCTACCTCTGCCCAAAGCCTCTCCTGGGCGGGGGCTGCTCTACCATCAGGAGCAGCACTAACGTGCAACACGCGTTGCTCTTCCTCCCTGCCTAGAACGGAGATCTACCTAACGGCTGGAGCTCTGCAAACCATTCTGTGACCATGAAGCAACCAGGAGGTGAGAGGCCACACATGCTGAGGGTGGCTGTGTAGGTCAGAGGCAGCTGAGGCACTGCTGACCCCGGGGACTTCCCGTACCACTTCTGGCTCCAAGCCAGTCACGTGTGCGGAGAGAGGAAGTGGCCTTCCTCTGTTAAAAGTACTGTTACCGAACTCAAATTCTAACAGATGCGTGAGAGAGGGGAGAGGGGATGTAGGTAGCAGGGAGGATGGATACGGTCAAAACAGGTATGAAAATGCTACAGTGAAAGCCAGTACTTTAGAAAATTCGTATACACTAATAAAAAACACATTAAAAAAAGGTTCAATCAGCTGACTGCAGGCTCCTCACACATCCCCTTCCAAAAAGGCCACCTAAGGCCGGGGATTGGGCTCAGTGGTTCCGCTGCCTGCCCCGCAAGTGCAAGGGCCCAAGTTCGATCCCTGGTACAAAAAAAAAAAAAAGTCCACCTAGGTAATGAAGATCCTCTTACATCTTGTTTTTGTGTCCCCACTGCTGGTCACCTAGTGAGACCACCTGTCACATCCACACTGTATGGGTCAGGGACAAAGTTTTCTAGGCCTCTAGTTCTGGGGAATGAATGAAGAATTAAGAGAGGAATTAAAAAAGTATTCCGGTGACCAGTACGCTGTACCACACGGCCTCTCTGCCCTGACTGACCGGCATCACGGCTCCCCGTCCGGGCCTGGTGTCGCTCTACAGGTACGCTGTCCCCGTGATCTGAAGGTGGGGCTGGGACACAGCACCAAGAGACGGCTCTTAGTCTGCGCGTCCACAAAGCACACGGTCCCCTGGGCTGTGCACCCCACTGAAGCTGACCGAGCACAGACTTTCCCAGGAGGGGAAGCATGAACTAAAGTTAAAGCAAAGAAAAGCAAAGCCAACAAAAATGAGGTGCTGACCCAGGGACCCCGAAACAAGGATTCTCTCAGCCTGGACGACTTCCGGAGACAATGCCACTGGCTTTTCCTTTTCAGGAAGAAAGTTAGTCAGGGCCCCTGGGCACCAAGCCGCCCATCCCTGTCTTTGCAGGGACTTCCCCTTCCATGAGCAGAAGGCAGCCCTGGGGTCTGGCAGCTCCGGCTGGCTCCTGGCTCCCCACTCACCTCCCGTGAGTCCTTACAGAGTCCCTCTTCCCGCCCTGGGCTTCCACATCCGCATCTGCACATCGAGAGGAATCCTAACAGCACCTAGGAATCTCAACTGAAGGGCACAGGACAGAACCCAGCTCCCAGCTGGCTCCCTGGCCCTTAGGCCAGGCAGTCTTCAGGGCACTGTGTGAGATTTTTGCCACATAAGGAAACCACTCGAGTTTTCCTTAAATCCACTCAGTTTCAACTTAATTCATACTGAAAAATCCTCTGTACCCCGTTATGCTATCACTAGTAATTACGCTTTCTAATGGGTAAAAGAAATGCACAGCTATTAAGTGGGAAATGCCGGTCTGCACAGTCTCAGCAGCTCGGACGGCACCAGCAGCACCAGTTGCCACACGGTGGGCGCAGCTCCGACAGTGGAGAGCGCATTTCCTTTGCGCACGCACTGCGGGACTGCGTGAGATGAGCGTAGGTGCGCACAGCCATCAGCCAGCACCTCCCTGCTGTCCCCGAGGCGTGAAGAGCAGACGGGGAGGCCGGGGCAGTGACCGCGCTGACACAGAGCCCCGGGAGGGAAACAGACTCAGAATCGATTCAAATTTCAGACGCGTTTGCCCAAGAAAAAGAAGGGCACTGGGCAGCAGGGCCACTCGGGAACGCAGCTCACCTTCTCTGCAGGACCTCCGGAAGGTCAGGGTGGCGTCCATCTCGTTCTTGATCTTGATGAGCGCGTCCAGCACCATGGGACCACATCTGACCAGGGAGAGCTCGGCTGTACTCACGGCAGTTCTCTGCCTGCTTTATCACCGCACGACTGCGACCGGCGTCCTCCGAACACACGGCCGCTGGGCCGTCTCAGATCGCAATCAGCATCTTTTCTATAGTTTTGTTTTGCGCATTTTTACAAATTTTAAATACTGCACAGTTCTATTTTGATGACAATACACAGATTTCCAGGAAACACAAAGCTAAAGAAGGGGGAGTAAGGACACGAGGAAGCAACTTCCACAACTGGCGGGGGCTTTTTTGTTTCCTCTAAACCTTGCAAAGTTTTCTCAAATAACTTCTCTCAGATTACAATTTTATTATTAGGATTCAGAAAATATATACTCATAGGGCGGGAGATTTAGCTCAGTGGTTCTGCCACCTGCTTCACAAGTGTAAGGACCTGAGTTTGATCCCCGGTACCAACAAAAAAACCCAAAACCAAAAACTGACTCATAATACATAATACAAAATACACATTCATAATGTGTACAAAAACGTGGTCAGAAAATAGATAAGGAATCACCTATAGTGCCCTGGCCCAGGTGACCGAGTAACCTGGTGGCTTCTATCAGATAGAAGTTGCATTTTTTTTCAAGGTATCAGCTCATCTCCTCAGAACTGTTCACCATAAAGTAATTCACAATTATTTTTCTGGAAACAGGTCTTGCCATGTAGCCAGGCTGGCCCTGAAGAACCCATGACACTCCCGCCTCTGCGCTCAGGTGTGTCATCGTACCAGCCGATCATCATCTCTTAGTATCCCCAGGATCTATAAGGACGGCCCTGGAAACGGAACCTGGGGCTTCATGCTGAGCTATATCCCTAGCGCTTTATTTTTTTATTTTGAGACAGGGTCTCGCTCAGTTTCCCAGGCTGGGCTGGAACCTACAATCCTCCTGCCTCAGCCTCCCAGAGTGATGGGATTACAGACACGTGCCAGCACTCCCTGCACTCCTTTCTGTCTTGACGTTGGTATTTGTGAGCTGGGACTTGAACCCAGGGCCTGATTCACAGTAGGCCATCATTCTACCACTCAGCTATAAACTCTCAGCCTTCTCTTTCTGACCATTCTGCCCAGGAGTTATCAGTTTTATTGATGCTTCCGGAAATAGCTTTATTATGATTGGGTCTTTTGCTGGGGATGGGATACAGGGGCTGGCGCATGCCAGGCAAGCAGTCTTCCACTGAGCTACATCCCCAGACCCCACTTCTACTTTTGTTTTTAAGATGGCGGTGTCTCCATGTCACCCAGCCTGGCTTCGTATTACTGGGCTCAAGAGCGCTCTGCCTCAGCTGGGACTGCAGGGCACATGCCCCTGCCCTCCTGTTTTGTTCATTTCCTTTACTGTTTGTCTTCTGACTGACTTTCTTTTTTGCAGTACTGGAGATTAAACCTAGGGGTGCTCTACTGGTGACTTTTGTTCTTACTCTGGGTTTTCTTCTTTTTTTTCCTAATTGTTATTATTATTATTTTTTGCTACCTGGGATCGAACTCAGGACGTTGTGCTTGGGAGGCAAGTGTGGTGCCACTGAGCCACATCCCCAGGACTTCTCCTCTTCTTTTTTTGTTTTGTGGTGCTAGGGATGAAATCCAGAGCTTTCCCATGCTAAACGTGTGTGCTATCACTGAGCTACACCCACAGCCCTTTTCTACTTTCCTTTTCTTTTTGGTATTTTTTTAGACAGGATCTTCCCACGTATTTCAGGCTCATCTTGAATTCACTACGTGACCAAGGTTGTCCTCAAATTCATGGTGATCTTCCTCCCAAATGCTGAGATACAGACTTGTGTACCACATCTGGCTACTTTTCTTTTTTCTTACGGTGAAATCTTAGCTTGCTTTTCTAATATAAGCATTTGGAGCTGGGTGTGGTGGCACATGTCTGTGATCCTTGAGCTCAGGATCACTGAGGCTGAGGTAGGAAGTTTTAGCCCAGCTGGGGTAATTTAGTGAGACTGTCTCAAAATTAAAAAAAGGGCCACGGATGACACTGCTCAGTGTAAAGACCCTGGGTTTAATCTCCAGCAAAACACACACACACACACACACACACACACACACACACACACACACAGAGTAACAGACAGAGGAATTTTAGTTTGGGAGAAGAAAAAGAATTTTGCAAAGGTTATTTTTCTTGGTGTTTATCTTTCTGGATAAAGTAAATAGATTTCAGAGCTACAAGATGATCTCAAATATTGAAGCCTCCTGAGGATATGGAAAGCCTGACACCAAAGAAAATCAAGAGCTCTGTTTTGAGCTGAGTATGCAGCTAGGTGGTAGCACACAGCACATTCGAGACCCTGGGTTCAATCCTCAGCTGCACAAAGACAAAAATCCATCTCCTTCCTTTATTCAGCACCTGGCTGACACAGATACTCACTTATTTAGATCAATTTCATATGTCTGCATCCGAGGTTTATCTCCAGTCTTGTCTGGGTCCCATCGGTAGATGGCAAATTTCTTGATTCGGGGAGCTCTGTCTGCAGCTGTCTGGGCCCCTCGGCAGGCCTGAAATTTTTTTGAAAGTTTACAAAAAGGAAAAGGAAAATTAAAAATACAAGACAATTCTTTGCATTTAATTGGCACAGTAGCATATACTACCAAATATAACCCACACATTACGATTCTTCTTGGGAAAGGCAGTCATCTAATATCCAACAGATACTGGGCACCTATGAGACGCCGGACATGGTACTAGTGGCCACAACAGCTCTGAGTAAAACAGATAAGCTGTGTGTGATAGCACACATGGGAAGTCCTAGCACCCAGGAAGCTGAGGCAGGAGGATCACTTCACTTTGAGGCCAGCCTGGGCTACACAGTGAGCTCAAGGATTGAACTACATGTAGAGACCCTGTCTCAAAAACAAAACAAAACAAAAAACCCAAAAAAACCCAAAATCACCAAGGATTGAGCTCTGTGGCACTGTGTCTGCCTGCGAGTGCACGGTTCTAAGTTCGATCTCTAGTACAACCCTCCCTCCCGCCCCCAAAAGAAACAGAACCTTTGTCTTCACAGAACTTTGTAGTGAATTAAATATTCACAGTAAAGTATAGAGTGATCCTGAAGTGAAAGCCAGCTTGGTGGCACCGACCTATAATCCCAGCACTCTGGGAGGCTGAGGCAGGAAGACTGCAAGACTGCAAGTTCACACCTAGTTGGGCAAATGTGGGACACCCTTGAAGGGTGGGGGAAAGGGCCCTGGGACATGGCTCGGTGTGAAGGCTCTGGGTTCAGTCATTAGCATCACATAAAAAAAGGACCCACCCTGCTTGATGGCAAAGTGTGGGGAGCTCTGGGTGAATAAAGGAGATGCACATGTTAAGAGGTTAAAGTACACGGACTTAGGAGAATTCTAGGCTACAGAGCAGCCCGTATGAAGGCCTGCAGGGGAGCGTGGTGCATGTGTGAGGAGGCAGGTACCAGAGGGAGGATGGAGAACCACAGATGTGAGGAAGCGAAAGGCTTCCCAGCTGTGATTTCGATTTATCTGAAAAGCAACAAGAAACCAGTTAAAAAAAAAAAAAGGTGTTTTGGGACAGGGTGTCACTATGTCGTTGAGACTGACCTGGAGTTCACTATGTAGCCCAGGCTGGTCTCAAACTCACAGCGATCCTCCTGCCTCTGCCTCCCTAGGCCAGTAAAAATTTTTAATCAGGGGACTGAAGGTTTTTGGGGCAGGGGAAGATACCACTGGCTATGACGGGAGAAGTGTCAGGCTAGATAGAGAAGCAGATTTGAAGCTATTACACTTATCACAAAAAGGTGATGGTGCTGTACAGCTAGGGCGGAGCGGACTGGAGCTGTGGCTTCGAGGGACAGCACTTGTCTAGCACACACAAGGCTCTGGGTTTCATCCCCAGCCCCACAAAAACCAGAAGTCTATTAAACAACAACAAAAACAACAAACCACTAGGGCAGAAAACATGACAAAGAACACTACATCTCAACGCAAAGTACAGTTAGGAGCCCACAGCTGCTCTCTGCCTTCTGTGGTGATTCTGTTACCTCTCTCGGAACTTGCAGTCTCTGCCAGGGGTGTCACACAGTGACCAGGTGTCCTGGGGCCACATCAGGGGAAGTGGGTGGGCACCTGACCCCTCTCTCCTTCAACCACAAGAGCTTCTCCCAAAGAGCACATCTGTTACGTGTGCTGTCGGGCTCAGTGGTGGAGAGTTTGCTTCTACACACGACACACTCGGTTCCACCTCAGCACCAAGAACCAAACCAAGCCAAGCAAAAGTTTTCAACTAAATTTATCCTTACTTTAATGTGATTATTTGTTGCTGCCACACTGCATTACATCATTCACTATAGATTTTTTTTGGAGCGCTGGTGAATGCATCTGGGACCTCAAACATGCTGGGGAAGTGTGCTACCACTGAGCTGTGTTCCCAGCTCAATCTCCGCTTTAAAGAAGAGGCAAACAATGAGGGCTGGAGGGTGAGAGCCAGGGAGGGGAGGCCAGATTCTCGGACGTGTTCCCAGCACCAGCCCAGCCTGGTTACTCAGGACTCCTAGCCCTCTCAGGGGACTGAACCCGGGGATACCGTGCACCACCTAGCACAACACACCAGGCCTTTGCACACAGCAGTGCAACCCACTCTCAGGGAAGGTTGAAGGAAAGAGCAAAATGTGGTTTCTTTAAATGTCCTTTCTTTGGGCTGGGGATTTAGCTCACTGGTTCTGGTACCTGCCTCACAAGCACAAGGACCAGAGTTCAATCCCCAGGCCAAAGAAAAAAAAAAGTCTTTTTTTTTTGAACCAGGGATCAAACTCAGGACCTCAGGACCTGGTGCTGTGCTGCTACATGTGTCTTATTTTAACTCCCTGAAGCTCTTCTCTGGGTAAGCTGTTGAAATAAGGCAGAGACCACACCAGGCTTTATTGTCTGTAGTGGAAAACCTCACTAGCACCAACAGCGATTATAAATTGAGTGATCAGTTTTTATGCAGACCATATTACAGGCCAGCTAATTCCCTTACAAACTGCTAAAGTAAAAATTCCAAAGATTAACTAATTACAAAAAGCACAGGGCCAGTGTGGTTCTGCTGCCTCACAAGCACAAGGTCCTGAGTTCAATCCCCAGTACAAAAAAAAAAAAAAAAAAAAAAAAAAAAAAAGTACAATGATCTTAGCTATTTTTATAGTAAAAAGTACCCTAGATTAACTGAAGTTAAAAATGTGACTCTTAGCTATTAGAAAGGGAGAAGAAAATAAAAGTGGGGGGATTTAGCTCAGTGGTTCTACTGCCTGCCTCACAAGCACCTAAGTTCAATCCCTGGTACCAAGAAAACACAAAACAAAAAAAAACCCAAAAAACAAAAAACAAAAAACCCCCACAAAATACTGAAAATGAAAGTCAGGTTCTACCTAATCACCAAACTGACTACGATCATTAAAAAAAGGAAAACTGTTACTAAGAGGGAATATTTTGCACAAGGAAGCCCATTCTATAAGACATAAACATTTGGCCAACGCCACCTTGTGGGACGTAAGAGAAGTGAAAAGAGGAAAGATAATCAGAAACACTAGCTCCAGCCAACTTGGCTCAATGTCCCCGCCCTTTTTGTTTTTGTTAGATGTAACAAGGTGTAACACATTAAATACAACTCACCAACCTTAACTATGTGACTTGATGAGTCTGACACGGCAGGACACAGTGCTCAATCACAACAGGGCATTTTCTTTTTTTCTTTTTTTGGCATCCGGGATCAAGGTGGCGGAACCACTGAGCTAAATCCCAGCCCCCTTGACAAGGCTTTTTCAACCCAGGTCTGCGCCTCCTGGAACGACTGGTCTGAGGTCTGTCATACAGACCTGCCTCTGTGTCCAGCTTTTTTTTCACTCAATATTTGAGAGCCACACAAATCCCTGCATGTATCTGCAGTTTGCAACTTAAAATCAACCTTTTCATTTTCAGATAGTTGTAGATTCACACACACGTGTAAGAATGAGGTCCCAGAGGATCTACTTAAGACGCCCCAGGGGCCATCAGAGCCAGAACACTGTCCCTCCTACAGGAGGAAGAACACCTGCACCGCCATCACAAGGGTCCCCAGGGGCCTGCAGAGCCACATCCATTGCTTTCCACCCTTGTTGCTCAGCCCCTAGCAACCACCAGGAGTATGACATCAACGCAGCCATCTAGTTGTGACCTTTCGGCCTTGACTTTTCTCATTTAGCTGAATTCTCTGGAGATTCATCCAAATTAAGTCATACATAACAGACCTTCTTTTTATGGCTAAGTAGTATTCCATGGAGTGGTACCACCAGTCTGTTTCATATTTGACTGCTGAAGGACATCAGAGCTGTTTTCAGTTTTTGGCGATGGGAAACGAAGCCAGTTTGGACATGTCTGGACAGGCTTCTATGTAAAAGTGTCTCTGGGACAAAATCCCAGGAATTTAAGGGCCGGGTTGTCAGGAGACTGGCAAACTGTTCTCAAGAGTGAGTGCACCAATGTGCCTGACTGAGGGAGGCCATTACGGGAATGGAGAAAATATGCTTCTTAAAAAAATATGCCTCCTCCAAGTTTTTCACTATCTAATCTGGACTTTAAACAGCGTGCAGAGTGGCAGAATCTGCAGGGACGACAGTTCCAAGTCTGACTCAGGCTGCCTGTGGGCACCAGGTACCAGGCCCCACCACACTTGGTCTCAGGTACTTGAGGCTGGTGAAAAATGACACAGGGGAGACAATGTAACTCTAAACTTGGCAGATGTTAAGATATGTGGAGTTTCCTGTTCTCTAAAATCCAAGAATGAATTTGAAGGAACCATGGAGGTTAAGAGTAGGAAAAATCTGAGAGACAGCACCAGAGACACGAGAAGGTGGGTGGCCGAAGAGCCCACTTCTCAAAGCAAGTTTTACAGAGCAAAATCACAAGGACAAAATCATGAGGTGGATACGTGAACCAAAATTATGATCAAATGATAAGACTGCAATGTCCATGGAAAGAACCAGGACCTTTTTAGGAAGGGATCGATCAGGAGGTCCTGGTCACCCACTTGGGTGACTGATGTCTACCAGACTTCACTGGGCCTGGTGATAGCGACTACGGTATAACCTTCACTCTACTGCTTACCCTTGGGGAGCATGTAGGCCTGCTCGTCTTTCCAATTTTAGTGTATGTGCTGCCGAACTGAGCACCATCTCGAGGCCTGGCCTTCAACAGATGCGCCTCTAGCCACAGGTGTAGTACGTTTTTATATTTTTTAAAAATTTATTTTTACTGGCACATTTTAGATATACATAATGATAGCATTCACCATCAGGAATTTGTACCTGTAAATGATATATCTTGCTTCTTTTTTTCCATTCCCCTCCCTTCCTTTCAACCCCTCTTCCTTTCCTTATTTAGAAAAGCTTTATTTCCATTTTTTCTTTCTATTCTTTTCTGTCTTTTCTTTCCTTCCTCCCCCTCGTTTCCTTTCTCATTTAAATGTTTTCTTCCCATTTCCCAATATCTGTTATACATTTTGTTCCCTATTATACTTCTTGTTTTCC